GAAGAGCGGACAATGCCCCACTAAAATATGGTTGTTTTTTTATAAAACAACAAACTTGGATTATGCCCGCCGGTTACATCAATAACAAAACGACGAATTCAATTTTCCCCTAATTTTAATCAAAATTTTGCATATTGTAATTTAAGATCATTTCTGATACCTTCAGAAGGTTTTTTCCTGTAAATCCCATATGAAAATGTTTTACTACAAACTTGATTAAATCCGTAGATGAGACATATGTGTCCATTCCTTCTGGTACACCTTCCACAAAGTATCAAATTTTGCAATATTTGTTAATCTTTTATGAAACGGTTTGATCCAAACTTTAAATTCGTTATATTTTTACTAAACCAGGCCTATCGGTTTGGTATTATTATAAAGCACATATCTTTTATAAGTAAAAATGGATTTTGAAAAATTAAAAATCTTATAAAATACGAAATGATTAGACAATTAGACAATAGCTCATTAAATATCTGTAATATAAATTTATCATACAATGGCCATGGACAAATTTATGAGTAATTTTATCATACATAATTAATTAATTTAGAATATGGACTCAACGAACTCTCTTTTTTAATTTACTAGGTCTGAGAAAATTTTCTATTTATCCAAAAATTCAGTAAAATAGTATGAAACACCTTTATTTATAAGTGGTGTTCGGAATTTTTCGCATGGAAATCGAAAACTTTAGTTTCCTTTTTAAAATTGAAAAATGTTACTGACTTATCCTTTCAACAGGATGAGCACTTTGTTGTAGAAAGGCTTTAACGAAATTGTTTGTTCGAATGTGTTAATTAGTATAAAACTGTATGTGTCTTAAGTCTTTTGTACATAACAGTGTGGGGTTTCATAGATTTGTGTTGGAGCTACATTTTTATATGTATTTTTTATTTCTGATCAGATTTCTCTCTATTTTTATTAATATTTATGTTTATATATCTTAAGTCAATCTGTTCTTTAGTATTTTCCTTAAATATAAATATATATTAATTACCCTTAATTACATTTAAGTTTACATTCGGAAGATCTATCTCCACTCTACTCCATTCCATGGAAATAACAATAATAATCTAGACAAACTTGCATTGCATTTATTAGTTGCTATTTTTTTCCTCTACAATGGGTTGTAAATTTTCAAGATTTTCACATGGAATGGGATCTTTGTTTTTGTGATAAGTTGTAATTTTGCCTTTTCGTGTCATGAACAGTCGGTGCTGCTTGTGTTTTTCTTATTTCACCTTTGGCAGAATTTGATAATTTATGAGTTCTACTAAAATGAAAACACGGCAGTCGTCAGAACGTCAGGAAAAAACCCCATCACCTAATGTTTTTTTTTTTTAGAAAATTAATTTCAATGCATGTTTGTTGTTGCTGTTTCTTTCGAATACATAGAGCAAAAAATTAAATAAAAAACAGCAACTCACTCATACACACAATAGATGCTGTTGAAATCTAGATTTTCATGGGAAATTATTTTGGCTTTCTTACAATGGGGACAGAGCTGAACTGTAAAACGTTTGTGAGAATTTCAAAATATTGTCGAATAACTTATAGAGTTGCTGTTTTTTGCATCTATTGTTGTTCGTAGTAAATGATTTAGTAAAAATTTTGAAATCCTTTTTAATTGGAGGCCAGATTAAAGACTTTAGAACCCAATGCTAAATTACAGCCACTTGGTTAGAAACAGTCCAGTGATTTGTAATTAAAAAAACTGAAATTAAGCGGTTTATTATAAGAGAGTGGTGTCAACATTTCCCAGATGCATGTAATAAGTATACTTTGGATTTGAGAAATTTTACTTTATACTTAAAATTAGAGGAAACGATGTAACTGCTTCCGAATTGAGTACCACTTTTGGTCCAATCTGTCCCATAGAAATAATGGATTTTACCCTATGTGCCTTTGAACCAAGTCTGCTTCAAAATTTGGAGTCGATGAAGAAATATCCATTCTTATGTTTTTTTTTTATTCCAGACTCTCCTAGCTTCATATTAAATTACATTTTATTAAAAAATTATTATGTTTTAATAAAATATCAAATATTTAAGCTTTAAAGTCTATTAAAAATACTTATAAAATTAAAGAGATTGATAATTTATTTTAACATATTTTGCAAAGAGATTCTCTGCCATTGAAATTTCAAATACAGTCAATTCTGTGACAATGTGACTCGATTCTTCACAATATCTAAAATCAGTACTCTTGGTGGTATTCCAAAACGTGGAAATGAATGACGAAATAAATTATATGCAGATGTAATGATAAACAGATGTGTAGGATTTTTCAAAATTGTTTGAACATTAGTTCTAATAAATATATAATTATAATGATAGACAGGTTGGACGTATATAAATATTTCAAAATTCATTCCGTATTTTGATAACATTTGACCTCTTGAAATATAAAATTTAAAATGCATATTTAAAATGCATTGCAATAAGGACGATATTTACGGAAACCTTTAGGGATGTACAGCCTCGGTGGCGCAGTAGGCAGCGCGTAAGTCTCATAATCTTAAGGTCGTGAGTTCGAGCCTCACCCGGGGCAGTACTTTTTTAATTAACTTACAATTTGATACAGGACAAGATATTGAAACAAAGCTGTAATTTATTTCATTTTCATTATTAAAAATATACAAGAACACTTCTCTTACGTTTTATGTAGTAAAAAAGAAAAGTCTCCAAAACGGGAAATAATCAATTCACATGTTCAACATTTGTTTCCGGTAATATCCGAAGGACTATGCTTTACTTGCCGAAATTATAAGAAAAATCCAGTATTTGTGATTAATATTTTATAATTTATAATACAGTTTTCAATCTATAAAAAAATTTCCCTTAGATCGCAATATTTACTTTCTAAAAACAATTCCTTGTGTGTGTGAGAAAAATCAAAATTGCTACTTAATGAAGAGCCTTTGCAAACAGACAATCATTTCCCATGAAATTTTCATGGAAAACATACCACATACATGGACAGCATTTACATTTTTATGAAATTTATTAACTTGCGACAGCGAAAAAATACAAACAAAATAACCATCAAGAAGACGAAGTTGATGATCACCCTAACCTCTTTACCATTTTCTTTTTTTCCTAAAACACTCACAAAATAAAATCTTAAAGACACCAAAAGCCATCTAGTTTGCATAAAATTCCCACGCAGTTTTGATTTTTCATTGTTGTCGCAATCTTGGTGGTGGTGGTGGTTAATAATTCTTCTTCTTGTGTTTTTACAACATCTATAATTTAGCGTGTGAAAATGAAGTTGGTCTTAAGAACTTAAAGGCATAATTAACTTGGCTGTTAAGAAAATATATTTTCACTTGTTGTCGGATGTTCTGCAGTCAAGCATGTTCGAAGGGGAATGGCTTCGTTTTAATTCTCATTAAGACATTCCTTGAGGAATTGCTTGATGTTCCTATAAGAAGCAGCAAACGGGGGTTACTTTTTGTGGCCAACAACGATCTTGACATGTTTTGGCTTATTAGAAATTCTAATTTCTCATTGAAACCCACTGTCGTCAAGAAATTTTCCCACCACAAAACCTAAGAATGTGGCAAGGGTGGTTGATTTAATATATCTTTAAGACAGTAAGTAGTAGCCCTCAACATGCAACATTTTTGTTGCTGGGAATTTTTTCTGCCCTGTTTTGGTTTTTAATACAAATGGAATCATGCAAGTTCAAGATGTTTATTTCACAATCATAGTTATTTTCTTATCAGATAGATGGATGACTTTCTGAGACATTTGACTAAGAAGGGAAAATTTCTTGCCCCACAAATATATTCACCACTCTTGTATCGTTGAGCCGTGACCAAATAAGATTTTCCCACAATTAAAATGAAAACACAACAAATTAGATTATTTTGTTTAAAAAATATGATTTTGTTTTTTATTACTTAATTTTACATACTGCATTTTTGTGGGTTGTTTGTTCATAGGGTGGATTTTTGTTGGTTTGTTTGTTTATTTCAACACGGTGCTACAAAATTAAAAGTATACATTTTCAAGTGATCCAGTTTAAAATATTTGTATACAATGTTTTCAAATTTATTTCATATCTGCTGAACAACAAAATAAAATTAGTAACATGACCAAAATATAATTTTTAGTACAAAATTTATTCATGTCTTTTTGGAAAATGATCTCTTGACGATTAAGATGACATTTCAAAATATTTTACAATGTAATAAATTTATTCCAGGGATTTTGAAACATGTAAAAAAATTAGTTGGATTAATAATACTTATTATGATTCTATAATAAGGCATCGCAGCAATAATAAAAATAATAAAATACCAAGCAGCAAATTTTAAAATTTGTTCAATTGATCTGCGTTCGGTGGTATCACTTTATAGTTATTTGTTTTCTTTTTCGCCATAGCACCGTGATGAACTTTTATACATTTGTATAAATAAATTAAAACTATGTTGTTTTTGTCTTTTTCCGGTTTGTTTGTTCTTTGAAACATCTTAAGATCATAGATTAAAAGTTTACTTATACTATTTCTAAACTTTATGTGTGTCACATAAAATTTGACATTATAGTTATTCATATAAAATACCTTATATATTCAATTTTTATAAATAAATTTATTATATGTATATCGAATGTATGTATATGCAATTTATGTATTTATGTTTTTTGGGTGTTTGTATGTATATATATAAAATGCTGTTTTTTTTGTTTTTTCTTAATGTATGTATATAAATACATTTCTCTTACAAATAGTAATAAAATTATGCATTAATAAAAATGAAGCTACATGATCATAAAAAAGAATTCTCAAATTTTATATACAATACTCATGTAAAAATTGGTATAAAATGAAATTTCTAAATAATACTAAAAATTTGGGTAAAATATAAAAAAAATCTTGGTTTATAGCTTAATAATAATAAAAATATTTAATATGGAAATGACAAGAATGTTTGTGTGGTAAGGTGTTTGGTTGATTGGTGGTGTGAGGAGGGGGAGACCCAAATGTTCAAAAACGCGACAATAATTTCAAATAAATATTGAAGCAAATAAACTTCGTTTAAGGGTTACAAAACTATTTTGTAATGCCAACCAAAAACACTGGCCAGCACTCAGGATAATCCGCCGCCGTGAGTATTCCATTGCACTTCCGACATAGAGGGTAATGCCTGCTGTTGTTGTTGTTGCTGCTGCATGTGATTATTGTTGGCATTTAAGCCAGACTCACCGGGTGAATGGGCTGAAACTACATTACTACTGCTGTTATTATTACTCATTGTGGTTATATTGTTGTTGTTGAGTCGCGACGAACGCATAACATCATCAGCCTGTGTACAATGCGGCCGAGGTCCTGGCTCGGGGGTGTATGTGAACGTTAGACCCGTTGCATAAATGATACCATCGTTACGTACTAATGATATAGGCACTTGAGTAGGATGTCGAACCTGGAATAAAGGAAAAAAAGGAAGACATGGGTATGGTATTAAAATTAAGTTCGAAAATTATTTATTTTGCAAAAGACCACAATACAACACAACATTTTGAAATAAAGAAAAACTTCTATCAGTAAGGCATGAAAACAAATCGTAGCTTTTATTACATTACATTTTACATTTTATTACATTGCATTTTTAAAATCCACGCAAATCATTCATTTGACAGCCGATTGATCTCTTCATACAATATTAAATCAAAAATGTAATTTGAATATTTTTCTATCATTGATTAATTAAATTTTTAATGTTATAACAAATTTAGAAAAAATTTTGAATGTGAACATTCATTACAACGTTATTACAACAGTTCCGAAAATATAAATACATAATAGCTATTACTTACCCACAACCATTCACCACGAAATTGTGATATTTCTGGCACCACACACAGAAGTGTTTCTGTGCAACGATACATTGTTTCAGCCTCAACATCGCCAAACCAAACTTGTAAATGGGGTGTGAAATTGTCACCACTCAGTTCTAACATAGCAACATCGCCACCACCATTGAGATTCAGGGAATTTACTATGGGTACAGGTGTGACAGGAGAACTGTTATGAGAAATAGATAAAATAAAAACAAACAAATAGTAAAGACGTGAAAAAACGTTTTAAGGGGACCCCCCCCCATTCTCGGGGTCAAAATTTTTGTTGACTTAATTCCAATCTATACTAATTCAAGAATGTCCCTGCAAAATTTCAAGTAAAAATCTCAAGAACTCTTGAAGATATAGCCGATTTATTGTGTCAGCATCAAGTGACGGCTGAAGGGCTTCTCAAACATTAAACGCGTTTTTCTCTAAACATTTTTCTGCGAATGGCGGGCACGATAACTCAAAAACTAATAACCCAATCGATTTCAAATTTTTACACGTTTCTCTGTGAGTGTATAGCTATCGTATGAACTAGGATAAAGCCAATCGGTGAAGATCTTCCTTATTTTTTAACTTGGTTTTTGGTAAAAAATCGGCGATTTTCCAAAAATATTTTTTCAAAGGTCCGCCATTTTGTTAATTTTAGAGCGAAGTCAATAATCCTAGTTCATACGAGAGCCAGACATGTACTCTTTCTAACACCGTTGGAATTTTCGGATTCCGATGTTCCAGTGAGGAGTTATCATGCCCGCCATCATAAATAAGGACTTTTCTTTGATCACAAAAAACAACAACAACATTTTTTTGTAAATTATTTTTCTTCCTCTTTAAATCTTCAAATATATATGTGCAAAGTTACAAACCTTAACAAGCATTGGTATTCATTTACCAGCCCATTTAATATCTTAAAAATAAAAAATCGAGAATGGGGGGGGGGTTCCCTTAAATAAAAATATCTATAAGTGTGTCAAACCCTCAAAAAATTTTAAATATTATTTTGTGTAGTGTAACTTATATTTTTTTGGATTTGTTAGAAAAAATAATTAAGAAACAAAAAAATATAGTACTTTTAATACTTACGAAACGGGACCCATTCCTTCATAGAATTGATATTCGGCTTTATCCGTTGATATAATTGTCCAACAGGCACCATCATTTATCATCTCCTTATTCGGTTCCTTGGGACATGGTGTGGCTTGAAACTGTATGATCTTCTCTTGCGACAAACACAAATACATACGATCCGTATCCTTCATATAGAATGCACATTTGTGCAGTTGTGAAACGGGATCATCGGCCTCCAATAAGGCCATTTGTTTATCAACTTTACGTATTATTAGACGTGGCAGGGCCATTCCCGTCACCGAACATACCAGCTTCACTGTAGCACCATAATGTATATAGCCATCACGAACTTGAAATTCTTCCGATTCGGATTCATTATCATCCAACAGATGTATTGTAAATGCACCCCATTGCGTCGACGAGGCATGAAAATGACCATTCTCAACATGTAGGTAACGCGTCGATACCGTTTGTGATCTCAGGCGATTGAATAGTGCCACATTTGTACCGCTGGCTATACAAAGATCGGCATTTTTCAGAGATTGTTTCTTCTTGGAAGGTTTTGAGATCACTTTGATACGTTTCGAATTGAAGACACCAATGTCATGGCCATTCCCATAGAACATCTTCACCGAGAGCATAAAATGTTTGCGTTTGTCCGAATCGGATATGAATAACGTTTTCGCTGCACAATACTGTTTGCCATTTAGGTCCAGCTGTTGCATATCCTGGTCGGCACTTCCAATGCCAATAAAGGCACATAGTTGGGCGCCCTGTTCACCCTCGCCCTTCTGCAGCATTTCTTCGTAACGTCGACGCCAGCCACTGCCAAATAAATAAATGCAAGGCGGTGGACAGAAGAAACGTTTCTCATTACCATAGGATTTTTGGGCAACCTACAAGGGAAGAAAAGAAGAGTAAGAAAATCAAATGCCATACAAATTTATGAATGCAAATAATAGCTTAACCACATTAAAAATAGTTTGGCATTTCAATCAAAATATGCAAAATATTGTCATGGGAAATTTTTGATGGATGGTTGCTTGGTTGACTAGTTGGCTTGCTGCTTATGCTCTGATCTCCTTTTGTTCCGCCAACAAACGAATGCCAATGCATTCAAATCTCCCTTAATTATGCAAAACCACCAAACCCCAGGAAAAAAACTTTTTTTATTCTGACCATAAGGTAAGCCGAATATGATTGTCGTTTACGCGCAGCACTGCAGCAAAAATTTGTCCGTTGACGGCCGGCTTGGCTTCTCACATCCTTCACACCTCACTGAACGCATTCAGCGAAAAAAAATCATTATCAGAATCAGCTGCAACTCAAGTGCGCTTTAGTTTAATTAAAGTTGTAATACAATTAAATTCCTAATCATAACTCTAATGGCATTTTGATTTTTTGTTGGCCGTGCTTTGTTGTAAGCAATAATTTTTGTTGTTGTGGCTGTAGTTACTTGGATGGGAGATTCGTAAGGTATTGAACGAAAAAACAAAAAAACATTTCTGTGGTTAGAACAACGACAAATAAATGAGATGTTGTCAAGCACTTTGGCTTGTAAAGAAATACGAACATAAAGACAGCTTATCCATAGCAGTGGTTTACAGGGCGCATGCTTAAAAGGGTTTTAATCAGGTGCCTATGTTTTTTGGATTTGGATTTATTGAATCGAAATCGAAAAAAAACTCATTTTGGGTTCCACATCAAAGCATAACGTGAGATTTTTAGCCAAAGTGCTATGATGAAAATGTTTTGCTATGTTGTGGTGTGGTCAATGTGGTATGGGTCAAGTGGAAATTTGTAGGGCTTGCAAAAATGTTGTTTATAATTAAAAAAAAATATGTAACATGGAGCCCAAAATGTTATATTTGTTGATGTTTACATTCTAAATATTAAATTGTTGATATATATATATATATATACATCATTAGGAGAATATATAAAGGTAATTATTTGAAAATGGGATTATATGCACGTGAATAATTTTTGTTCTAAGTTTGTATAATGTTCACTTCTTGTTTCTTCTATTACTGACTTAATACTTTGTAATTCTAAATACAAATATTTGTCTTATATCTTAATATTATATCTTAAATATTGCACCGTTTTGTTGCATTTTAAATGCATTTCTCCGATTTTATCGACATTTTCGACGAGCTACCTGTGCGGTGCATTTTACATCAAAAATTCCTGAACGGAATCTACGGAACCAAAATTGCCCATAATTGGCTGTCACAGTATCGGAACCATAAACACCATTCACAATTTTAGCCGTTTGGTTTCATTTTCGCCTTTGTCAAAGAAAAAACTGTAAAATGTAACGAGTTTTCCTGTCGTTTACTTCCATTTTTAACTTACAAATGAAAGCACCAAACAAAAAACAGCAAAGAAATGAAATTATTTGATCGAGACTTTACGAGAAATCTATTAATACAGTCATCTGCCGAAAAAATAATGGATTTCTTTTTCCCCAACCTAATATATAATTACTAGAATATATGAAGATAATAATTAGAAAAGGCTATTATATGCACGTCAATAATTTTTGCTTCAGTCCATAGAAGAAAACGTTTAATCCCGGAAAAGTCCTTTACGTCGTGTCTCTTCTAAGTTAAACAATAGTGATCTCTATCGGATAAAATATCGTTTTTTTATTTTATTTGTATTCACCTCTTGTTTTGCATATTACTGAATTCATACATGAAATCAATTGACAAAATTTTAATCTCGATATTTAATCAATTTTGGATAAAGCAGAGTCAATTTAGTCTGGAAGAAAAAATAAAACGTTTTAAACGTTTCATTACTCCGAGTATATATATATATATATATAATGTATATATACTCGGAGTAATGAAACGTTTAAAATGCGGAAATCCTTAAACTGGTACACTTAACCTACATATTCAACCATCGTTGAGAATAGGTTTACTCAATTCTAAAATTGGGTCCTCTTAGAATTTACAATATATTTAAATATTTCTCTACAAAATCGAAGTTATAATTATTTCTACTGATTTTTTATACACAGTAATAAATTACAAATACATTATGGAATAAAGCTACCATACATTTTTATGACCACTACAATATCTTCATTCTCTAATCGGATTTTGAAATTACACTAATAAAAATACTTTAATTTATTAGTGATGATGGATCAATCAACAAATAATTTTTAAAACAACAAAACATACGAACATTCAACGTTATTTTTTAAATATTCATACACCCAGCTCTTCAATGTAATCAAGATAAAAAAGAATGTTGAGCTCCAAAGAGATCAGAACCTAAACTGTTTTTAAAGAATCAATTTATATTTTTTCTTTTTAACTTAATTTCTCTTATTAATATACAAATTAAAATATTTTACTCACCTTCGCATGTAATATTACAATGACCATATCATTTCGCTCCCTCATATAACGTTCCATTGCATCGCGGGTTAGTTTCTTCTCCTCAATGTGCGATCGAAATGATGTGGCAGATGATATTGAATTTACCGATGTATTCAGTCCTGTTGACATTATTGATCCTCCACCACCACCGCCAGGATTACCCATACCCCTTGGAATCATGGCCAGATGAGGGTGATGTTGCTGCTGCTGTTGTTGTTGCTGCTGTTGGTGGGGATTGTGGCCAGGATGATGTGGAGGACTGGGTGGCATTAGACCACCATTGCCGCCACCACCACCGCCGGCATGATGTAAAGGTGGACTTGGCGGTGTCTGTGCATATGCATTGTTCGCCATGCCGGGACCACCTCCTAAACCAAAATGTGGCATTTGTATCAGTTGTGAATTGTAGGGGGACGATGACAAAGGTGACGAGGATGAATTGCCGTTACCGTTGTTGTTATGCGTAGGCGATATTACGGATGTGTAGTTATCACAGTTGTTCTTATTGACCGGGGAATGTTGATGCAGTGGCGATTCGTGCTGCTGATAAATGCTACCACAATTTTGAATATTCGAGTTGTCAAACAGTAGAAAATTTTGTGTCAGTGCTGGAGGAGGAGTAGAAGAATCCCGAGGATCTGTTGTATAGGTTTGCTGCTGCTTAAAACACTGCATTTAGTCAAACATTTTTGTCAAAACTTAATATTTACAGCTTCTTCTTCGTATTGTTGATGTTGTTTTACAGATGACTTTCCTGTTTGTTATGGTACGTGGAGCCACCACTTGGGATGTGAAACATATTGCAGGCAGTCTTTTGATATTTCCTTTGAGATTTCTTACAGAATTAGATGTCGATTGGCATACGTGTTGTATTTATTGGCACTTTTGTTGTTTAATTCTGATGTTATTCAGTTCTTCTTGGCAAGTTTCTATTTTGTTTTGCACAAAACACAAAGGTAAATAACAAAAAAGTGTTAAAACAAAAATAACAACATTGGTCGCCGCACTTTTCTACCCGACGAACACAAACACACACACACACAACTCACACTCAAATAAAAAACCAAATGTCACAACAGATGTCAGTTCACACGCTCTCGTACGGCGCTAAGTTTACGTTCATCAGTTCGAAATGCGATATGAAAATTCATTTAATTTTCCACAAATATCCTGCGAAACATTTCAAATTATTGTTGAGCTGGAGGGAGAGCTTGCCAAAGCTGGAAAGCTATATTCTGTGAAAATTTAAAACACGACTGAACTTATTTAACAAAAAACCACCTCTTTTATTACTCGCCAACACCGAAGACGCCGATTTTAGCCGCAGTCGACTTTGTTTTGCTAATCTTCTCTTTGCTGGTTGCTTTATTATCTTCTCTTGTTTTTGGCTAGTTCTTCGCTGCTCTCCAGTGTTGCCGAAAGTGGGCATTTATGCCCAATAGTGGGCATAAATAATGTAAAATTTACGACTTGGGCAGATTTTGGGCATTTTTTCGTTCCCGGCACATTTACATTTTTTTCTATATTTCTATATTCCCTACACAAATATGTTGTGAGAAGCGAAATATTACTTCAAGACTACCGATATATTTCGACTAGCTGATTCGATTTACACATGTTTTTTCCCCCGTCTGTCCATTAAAATTTGTATTTATGGATTAATAGCCATTTGTATGTGGATTCGGTTCTACTCAAAGACGACTAATACACTGCGTATCATAACTATATATGGGCCTTTTATTCAATTGGTATTTTAGTTGATAAATACAATGGACCCATTAAGTTATTGTACACAATAAAATGATCAAACTCTCCCTTATTTTGAATGAAATTCAAAAATTCTGTCCATCAAATTTGTCTATCAAATTTTGTTCGCAAATATTCATCAATTGACCGCCATTCATCAATAATCACTCCTTTGGGTTAAACACAGTTTGGTATTGGCGGTTTTCTGCATAGACACGACGAGTCATGATTCCCCATATGTTCTCAATCGGATTCTGGTAGGAAGTTGGAATATTTTTTGATTTTAACCATTCTTAAGTATGGCGACTTTTATGAACTGACGAATTTCCCTGCTGAAAAACGAGTCTTTCATTGTTACTGCTTACTACTCCATTGAATTCATTCGAAACTAGGAAATGCCAAATCAAAATGTTCCCATGACCATTAAAGAACCGCCACTGAAATTTTGTTGTAAGGAATATCGTGGTTCCTTCCGAAGATCTCTCCAATAACAATTTAAAACATCTGGGCCATTAAGATTGAATTTTTTCTCATGTTCAGTCGTATTCAGGGATGGTCCGTGTGACGAATTTTTAGGTTTTCGACCGTCAAAAAGGTGTAAACGTCGAAAACGTCATATACCTGTATAAAATGTAATAAATGTAGTAAACGTCGTTTATTTCAATATTATCAGCATATAAAGTTATTTTCAAAAATATATATTATTTTTACATATATCTGACTATTCCTTGCTAGAACTGATAAAAATTTCTAAATTTTTTGAGAAGAAAATTTTCAAATTTTTTATGGATTTGAGAAAATAGCTATTTTGTCAAAAACCTAATGGATTTGGGTAGGTTTCCGACGTTTCTACGTATGAAACTACTCTCTAGTGCCAAGGAGGAAAAATTTTTATTATATTGTGACCGATAATTGCCCAAAATTTATATTAAGAATAAGTATTAAGGCCTTTCATTTTTAGACCACACAGTATTTACCATTCTCTTTATATAAGGTATATGCTTTTTTCAAAGAGTTATGCCCTAGAGGCCACATATTCGGGTTTAATTCAGATTTGGTAAGATATAACGATGTGCAATCAATGCATGAAATCAATATGTACAATCTTTTAAAATGTTGACCCTGAAACATTGACCCGTGGGTTCCCATCTTCGAACTTGATATAGTTTTGGTAAAAGAAGGTGGAAAGATTGAATCAGACATTCATTTCGTTCAACTGATATTGGATGAAAAAAAATTAAAAATTTCGACGCTTTGTGAGGAGGTACTGGAAGGAGTGGCTCGATGTTCTCCATCTCCGATCTTGATTTAAACATTAATATGTGCTAAGTTTGGATGAAATATGTTACTTCTTTCGAAAGATATCGTGCGCACCAGTCATCCAGACAGACAGACGGTCATTTGTAAATGGACTCCAAATTGTCGAATCGGATTTGGTCCAAAGACACATGGGGTCTAAACGTATATTTCGATTAGGGAATTCAAAATAAAAACTAAAAATCAATTTTCCCATACTTCCATGCTGCAAAACAGTGTACTTTTCAGCGTTTAAAAAAATATAGAACAATAAGGACCTTTGTTTTTAATATTTGTATCTTTTCTTTAACGCTTAAAATTTTGGGCATACATTGTTGATTTTGGGCACTTTTTAGGGGGAATTTTGGGCGGAAATAAAATTATCAAACGGCAACACTGCTGCTCTCTCTCTCTTTTCGGCAGGGTGTTGCCAGACAGTTAGTAATATGTGTGAGTTTGTGGCAAATTACTACTGTGTGGTGTCCGTACATACTGAAGGTGTAAGGTGAAATATAAAAAATCGAAGCTGGCAATACTATTTCACATTATTCCATTTCCTTTTCGTCGAGTCTAAAGTTGCAAGTTATTTTCTGTGAATTGTTCTTAAATTAATTAAAGAAATAAATCGTGTATATTGTCGCAATTCGTGGGTAAATTATCGTGCGCGTATACTATCGGTAGTCATCAGTGAAAATAATCTGTTCCGGTTTTATTTTGTTTGTTCTTGATTCGTTGCAAAAGTGTCTTCTCATTTCCCGCCATTTTAAGCTTTATGTGCAAAGAAGTGTTGTTGTATTTATTGGCAGTTGATGAAATATGTCTGCCGTTTGCAAAATGCATAAGTTGTATAAGCCAAAGGGCGCCTTAATTGTAATTTTGTGATTTAAATTAATGAAAATTTGCTGGTTTTGTGTATTGTTTTGTTTTTCTTTGTTGTTGTTGTGTTGTGTTATTATAAATGTGTTCATTTCATTCAAATTGTGAAAATACGAGATGCATAAATTTTAGGTTATCTCAGCCAGCCATTGGACGTTATCACAACTTATTGGAAAATGGTAAGCTATTGGGCATACACATCAGTTGATTCATATTGCTAATTGTTTTTATTTGTTATTATTAGGCTGCTGGTGCCGACGTGGGATGTGGACTGCACAGGTAAGGTATGTATTTACTTTGTATTACTTTAAAGAGTTCTCATACCCACTAACACCTTAGTTATCATCCGCTTTTTACGGAATTGGGAACAATTTATTGCTACTGCAGTACATTTAAATATAAGCATTTTATCAAATAAGCTACATATTGAATGGGAGTAAAATAATAATCGGAGTCTCTGTAGACCAAATGTTTTGGAAATACTCAAGATAGGATTTTAATATTTTTTAGTCCAATTAGAATATACGATTTGTTGAAAGTAGCGGTTTCAAGAAGAAAATGTAACGTGCCCTCTTTGGATTTAGAATATAGATTAAATGATTGGTTTTTGTGAATGATATGCCAAACTAAAGACATATTTTAAAAGTCTCCCCAAATCTGGCTAAAACATGTAACCCTCAACATTACTCATTTGACACCTTGACGTCCAGATAAAATTTTGAATATCGATCTACGTTAAAATATAAAATATAGTACGCATACAACGGTGCCTAGCAATTTTGGAAATTAAAAGGTTCTAGTAAAATTTGTCAATAGAGTTGCTTGTAATTTGGTGATATTGGTTTTCATTGGCAATGTGCCATTAACTTGGAGTATTTTGAAATATTTTCCAGACTATGTTGCAGCTATTTGGAATTTCCTTTACGAAGAGAAACTAAACCTTATCAATTAATTACTCAAAAGAGTAAAGCTATGTTTTTAGGAGATTGCAAGAGGATTCAGTTAATGTTTCCATTTATAATAATTCTACATATGTTGTAAGCTCTATGAAATGTCTTACTTTGTTTCTTGATAGTGGTTTGGTGTTTGACGTTCTTTGGTGTCCAATGTAAACTTTATTTTAAGAAAGTTTTTCTGTTCATTAGAAAGATAAACTTAATATCGACATTTATAAATATAGGTTTTGGTATATATACCTCACAACCTAATTATGTCATATGCAATTATGACATAATTATCTAAATCTCAATGGCAGAAATCCTTTCTATTACAATTCTTCAATCGGTCCATATAATGATACTGCCTGATTTTAAGTATTTCAGATTATAGTTGCATTTTCCAAATAATATTTGCCGCCCAAATTTAACTCAGTTTTCAGTTGTTACAATAAAACTTTCGCAATATCACATATTTTGACCAGAAATATCTTGAATGACTGGAAATCAATTAAAATTGTATAAAATGTGTAAATATTAAAAATGTGAAAACAACACCTGCAACAGGACTGACTTCAAGTACAGATGGATGTAATATATATTGAATTTTAGAATCAATTATATTTTGTAAATTCAAAAGAAATTATGT